GTAGAATTAGCAAATCAATAACGGTAACGAGTTCAAAGACAGTCATAGTACAAAGAAATACCTTTTAAAAAAGGCTACAAAAGCCAGAAAGGGAGTAGATTACAGTGATAATTAATTATAGAAATATGAGGAAATCCTGATGTACACCGATTAAAGGGCTGTTTTCTTCTTTTTCTCCAGAGTTATCGACCATGGTGAGGAAAACCGCATGACCACTCAAAGCGTGGCCATCGTTTTCGGCCCCACGCTACTCCGCCCAGAAACCGAGACCCTGAACATGGCTTTCAACATGGTTTATCAGAATCAGATAGTGGAGCTTATATTGCTGGAGTATGAAAACATTTTTGGCAGGTAGACACCAGGATCGTTTCCTCTACACACCAAAGCAGAGCTCTAGCTGACCCGGCAGCCCTGCCTTAACAGAAAATAAATAAATACAAAAAAAAAACCCTGGATCTGCTCGGCTTCATCTCGATCCATCCTGTCACTGCTGGTCAAAGTGAAACATCTGAGCAATGGTGACTCCTGCTCCTCCAGAGGAATGACCAAATAAACTTTGACTCTTTGCACTTTTTAGTATCTCTTTGTCCTGCAGCTGCATTTGTGCCTCTTCTCTGCGAAGGTGGCATCCTCCTAGTCCCAGCACTGGATTTCCTCTAAACCTGCGGATCAAGCAACCTTCTGCACAGACTGAGGCTAAAGGAAGCAGATGGATGCAGCTTAAACTGACTGTATTACAGATAAGGCGTCAGTATTGAAGCTTTATGATGCTGAACAGGATCTGTATGTGCTGTACTGTAAATCTTATCGCTTATAGTCACTCCTGTCATGACCTCATCCTGGGCGGACAGACAAAAACCAAACAGTGGACTTAACCTCAGCTTGGCTTTAGATGTTTATTAACTTAAAGGAGATAGACACCAGTAAATCACATGGGGAGAAATATTTTGGCCATTTTTATTGTGATGTCTTCTGTCTCCTTTTTCTTCCCTCTTTATGTTCCTGAGAAACAGAAAAGAGGTTCTTTGCATTAAATATTTTAGAACAAATCATCTCAGCCTCAGCTTAAAACAAGGGTACTCATCTGCTTCTTTAAGACTAGTAGACTATGAAAGGTTTGGGCGAGCAGCCTCTGAACTCTGTACAGTGTTTGTGTGTGAATGCGAACGGAGGGGTGGATGAACGGAGCAGAGAATGAATGCTTTAAATAAACTGTAAAAATAGTAAATAAAAGTTTGTATGCTTTGAGTGTTGATAATGTGACCCGAGGGAGAGATCATTGTTTTTGTGATGCTCGCTGAAGCAACAGATGTGAGGAGTGATTAAGTGGACTGGGCATGATGGTTTACACGTGAGACCGGTACTGTTGGCTGCATCAAACTGGAATAAATACCTCTAAGAAGAGACGTCAC